AGGTTAGAGTAATTTTTATGTTTTCGAAGCTTTATAGCGCCACCATGAGGCCAAAGTTTGCGGGTTTTGCACTGTGACCTCAAATTGACCTTATACATGTGTGTACCAAGTTTTATGAAGATATCTCAATCCGTTCAAAAGTTACAGCTACAATTAGCTTTTAGCTTACATTAGCATGTTACGTTTTTGTGTACGGTTTCGCGTGAAATCAACATTTCAACTTTCTTTCAATAACTTTTGCTATTCAGTGTCTAGAGAACATTTCTACACTGGTTTGGTTCAGATTGGGCAAAAACCCTAGGACGAGTTCGCAAAAGTAGGTTTCGGACAAATCGCGATGTAGCGGAAAAACGGTGCGTCGTAGAGAAATTCTGGGTGACTCCACTTTTGTTCGTGCTGACCCAACGATTCCAAAAGTGTAAAGTTTTTGAGCCTACGACAAACGGTTTAGAAATGGCGGCCAAATTACTAAATTTTTTTTGTTTTTAGCGCTGTAGCGCCACCTATGGCCCGATTTTGACGAGCCTTTGGATCTGAGTAGCGGTGAGGAGTACTACCATCTGACCAAGTTTGAAGCCAATAGGCCTTACGGTTTGGCCTGGGCAATAGTGATTATGGCAGAAGTAAAATAATAATAATAATAATAAATATAGCCGCAAGCGGCGATTAACGGGGTTCGAGCATTTGGCAACCTAATTGTCATTTAGGCAATTTAGATTTAGGACAACCCAAAATTTAAGGCTGACCCAAAAGAAATCCATGATGGAATGTAATAAATGGAAAAAATATAAAGCCTACATGAATGAAGTGGTAACCTGGGCCTAAATCAGCTTATAAATGCAATAACAGAGTTTATACCATGTCAAGATGTGATTCAGAATGATCTTAAATGGAATTTTAGTGACTTTGAACCAACATTATGAGGTCTTGTGCTGTCATCTAGTGGTTTAAATTAGTAATGCATGTTTATACCCTTCGTGGAAGCATATGAACACACTCTGCTCTTTAGATAAATATATCAAGCTCATTTATGCACAAAAGTTCAATTGTTTTTCATAATTACTGATTTACACAGTCCAGACATTTGTACAACACTGATTTTGTTCAGTTTGAGCAAAAAAGCAGGGACGAGTTCCTAAAAGTATTGTTTAAAATAATGGTGAATAATAAATTGATGGTTAAAGTTACAGCAGTGGATTTTGTGCCAAAGTGATCAGAATATACAGGCCTATCATATAATATGTCATATCAAGTATATTTGTAAAAAGCTGTCTACAATAAACACATATACAAATTATGGTCAAATAGCAATGAAAAGCAATGGAAATCAGTGTTTTTGAGACTTTTTCTACTGTTATAGCGCCACCTATTGACATAGCTTCACAAAATTTTGCATGCTTGTTATGAATCACATCTCAGATATGCAAACCTGATTTCACGAAGTTTTGAGTTTTCCTTATGCATTTACATGCATTTAGGTCAATATAAGACACACCCCTTTTGTAAATGAGCCATTTATAGCTACCAAATAAGGAAAGTTCAACTCATTTCAATAACTATTGATCTGCTCAGTTCAGAGATTCATACAACACTGGTTTCGTGGTGATTGAGCGAAAAACCAGGGACTAGTTCGCAAAAGTAGGTTTTTCATATAATAATTAATATTTAATGAACAGATTGAGTGACATCAGTGGTTTTAGTGTCAGACTGTTCGGTATGAGCAGGCCTATCATATGATATGTAGTTTGTGTGGCTGTGCAAAACTTTGTGTAATAACCAATCAATTACAACCTCAAAAAACACAAAATCGCCCCCTAGTGGCGGATTTCTTTCAAAATTCTTACAGACCTCTAGGACCATGAGTCGAACATGCCCACCGAGTTTCGTTCCGATCACTCATCGTTAACCTAGTTTAATGGCTGTTTAATCTTAATTGGCTAATAGCGGCCATGTTTTTTGAGATATGCCAATGTCCTTATAGTATGTCATGACACGTTAGACAAAGACACTGCATGCCAAATTTCAAGCTGATTGGACTAATGGTTGTGAGGTTAGAGTAATTTTTATGTTTTTGAAGCTCTATAGCGCCACCATGAGGCCAAAGTTTGCGGGTTTTGCATTGTGACCTCAAATTGACCTTATACATGTGTGTACCAAGTTTGATGAAGATATCTCAATCCGTTCAAAAGTTACAGCTACAATTAGCTTTTAGCTTACATTAGCATGTTACGTTTTTGCGTACGGTTTCGCGTGAAATCAACATTTCAACTTTCTTTCAATAACTTTTGCTATTCAGTGTCCAGAGAACATTTCTACACTGGTTTGGTTCAGATTGGGTGAAAACCCTAGGACTAGTTCGCAAAAGTAGGTGTCGGACAAATCGCAATGTAGCGGAAAAACGGTGCGTCGTAGAGAAAATCTGAGTCACTCCACTTTTGTTCGGGCTGACCCAACGATTCCAAATATGTAAAGTTTTTGAGCCTACGACAAACGGTTTAGAAATGGCGGCCAATTTACTAAATTTTTTTAGTTTTTAGCGCTGTAGCGCCACCTATGGCTCGATTTTGACGAGCCTTTGGATCTGAGTAGCGGTGAGGAGTACTACCATCTGACCAAGTTTGAAGCCAATAGGCCTTACGGTTTGGCCTGGGCAATAGTGATTATGGCAGAAGTAAAATAATAATAATAATAATAATAATAATAATAATAATAATAATAAAAATCCTTACAAAAACAATAGGGTTTCAGCGCTTCGCGCTCGAACCCCTAATAATAATAATAAGAACACTAACGAAAGCAATAGGTGCCTACGCACCTACGGTGCTTGGCCCCTAATAATAATAAGAACACTAACGAAAGCGTTAGGTGCCTACGCACCTACGGTGCTTGGCCCCTAATAATAAGAACACTAACGAAAGCAATAGGTGCCTACGCACCTACGGTGCTTGGCCCCTAATAAGAACACTAACGAAAGCAATAGGTGCCTACGCACCTACGGTGCTTGGCCCCTAATTATTGCTTTTATTACTATTACCAATAATAATAATATTATTATTATTATTATTATTATTATTATTAATAACAATAATAATAATAATAATAATAATAAATATTAGAGTGATTTCTAAAGGATCATGTGACTCTGAAGAGTAATGAAACTGCATCCTTTAAATCACTGGATTAAATGATTCAATTAAATGATGTTAAATGACTTTTGAACGGTAATTTTATAGTGCAATAACATTTCACAATTTTACAATTTGTACCTTATTTTAAGCAAGATAAGCTTATTTTAAAACATTTAAAAATTCTACTCACTCCAGATTTTTGACTGGTAGTGTATATATTTTTATTTATATAAATTGTTCCCACACAATAGAGCATATTTAGAGCACAGTGCAAAATTATATTAAAAAAAAGAGGAATAAGTAAAAGAACTAGCAGTGTTTTGAGCTCTTTTTTTTTCATTTTTTTTTCTAAATAAAATATTATATATGCTTTTGTACATTTTATACTAGTTTCAAATTTATTACAGTACTTAACCGATGAAATAGTATAACTACTTAACTTTTCATAAGCCTGTATTAAATTGTTAAAACCTGGTTAAATTGTGGTGACATTTTGCAACCTAAATGTCCAGCAACAGTTCACAAGTTTTATGTTTTACTCTCACCGAGAGCTTAAAGGTCATGTGAAGCGCTTTGAAATGTTCCGTTATTATTCGATATTTGACGTAATCTCAACTTAAACATGAAAAGAGGGTGAGACATTAAGTGGCCCCAAAAAAACAGCCAATATCGTTTCGGTTATTGACAGTGGTTAAAATCAAGCGCATCAAATTAAAAGCAAAGGAAAAGCAATTTTAAGGGTGCGGGACATGTCAGATACTTTGGATTTAGGAGTAAGTGACAAACTGCAAGCATTGGGTGTTTGTGTCTTCTAAATGCAAATATCCATTTACTGTTTTGTACCAGACTAGCTTATAGACATCCTCAACACTAACATACTGATACTAACATCTAAACAACATGACTGGGCCTTTGAAATCAAAATGTACAATATTTGTTTTGATACCATGCATTGTCATTCTTTAGGTGAACTATTCATCTGTGCAAGTTTTACAAAAAAATCTAAATATTTGATTTGGTCATTTTCTATCAAAGTCTGATCATTTGTTCAGCTTCAGCTACAAGATTCTTAACCTCACCCCTCTTACCTTTAGTTTGCTATGAGGGAATGTGCAAAAAGAAAGCCCCGCCCACTGCTCAATATTCAGTTTCAGTTGGAAGTGCATAAACATACTGAAGTTAAAGTCTCAGCAAATTTTGATTTACGCAGACTTTATATTGTATTGATAATTTACAAATTTTCCATTTACTTCAAAATTGATTGAGAGTCTTTCTTCAGTTGACCACAAACTAAGATATTTCAAAGCATGTTGGAAAATGTCAGCCATTGACTTCCATAGTATTTTCTTCTCATTCTAATGATGCCAATTTTTACCAGTTTCCAGCTTACTTAAAAACACATTGTTTTGTGTTCAACAGAAGAAAAAAAAGGTTTGGAATAAGTGGAAGGTATAGATAATAGGTCAGTTTTGCTATAGCGATTTAGCTTACACTTCAATTCATGTTAAAATTTTAGCCATTTTAAGATGCATTTTTTCATTAGTTTTTTTTTTCACGTTTTACACATAATTTTAAATTTAATTTAAATAATGTGAAAATACTGTGATGCAATTTTTTCAGGAGTCTTTAGTGGACTTATTTTTCATTGCAATATACAACATTTTTAGATTAAATTAAGTATTAAAATCATATATTTAAAAAAAAACTAATTTATTATAATACATTTAATAATATATAATGAAATATAGTGTGTAAATGTGTATAATAAATTTATAAAACAAATATTTAGTTTGGCAATAATTTTAGTTGATTATGATCAACTAAAATTATTGCCAAGCTAAATATTTGTTTTATTGCTGTGTGTATATGCAGGTCTCAGGACACAATAGTATCTTATCTTCCACTGGCTCATGTACTGGAGCTGACTGCCGAAATCTCCTGTTTGTCACATGGTTGCAGACTTGGATATTCCTCCCCACACACTCTCACGGACCAGGTAACACACACACACACACACACACACACACACACACACACACACACACACACACACACACACACACACACGCACACACTCCTTTATTCATCATTAATTTCTTTATTCTCTGTGTTTGACCTGTACTGTTGTCTGTTCAGTCTAGTAAAATAAAGAAAGGCAGTAAAGGAGACTGTTCTGTGCTTAAACCCACTCTCATAGCAGCAGTGCCGGTGAGATTTCTCATACATTTTCCTCCAAGTATATATATTTATTTTTCATTTCCCCCTCTATACTCAGCTTTGGTGTGTTTGTGTCTTTTGTGTAGGAGATCATGGACCGAATCTGCAAGAATGTTAATGGGAAGCTGCAGGAGATGTCAGTCATAAAGAGGACTCTGTTTAAATTGGGTTTCGACTATAAACTACAGCAGGTGTCAAAAGGAGCCGATTCTCCTATGTGTGACATGTGAGTCACTTATCCAGATTCTTTCTATCTATCTATCTATCTATCTATCTATCTATCTATCTATCTATCTGTCTGTCTGTCTGTCTGTCTGTCTGTCTGTCTGTCTGTCTGTCTGTCTGTCTGTCTGTCTGTCTGTCTGTCTGTCTGTCTCTTCTGTTTATCCATCCACTCCATCCATCCTTCCTGTTCATCTATTCCATCCATCCATCCAGTCATCCATCCCGTTCATCTATCCTATCCCGTCCTGTTCATCCTTCCTGTCCCGTGCTGTCCTATCTATTTATCCGTTTATCCCGTTGAACTGGTTAAATTCAATTCAATTCACCTTTATTTGTATAGCGATTTTACAATGTAGATTGTGTCAAAGCAGCTTCACATAAAAGATCATTAAAAAATGAACTACACTGTTTCAATTTACTAAGTTTAAGTTCAGTTCAGTTTAGCTCAGTTCAGTGTGGTTTAACAATCACTATTGAGAGTCCAAACACTAAAGAGCAGTCCATTGATGCGCAGCTCCACAGATCCCGACTCATGCAAGCTTGTGGCGATAGCGGCGAGGAAAAAACTTCACTAAGTAGCGAAAGTGAAGAAAAAATAAATAAAAAAATTCATCCATTCCATACCGTCCATCCATCTCGTCCTGTCCATCCATCTCGTCCCGTCCATCCCATCTGTTCATCCATCCTGTCCGTTTATCCGTCCCATCCATCCCTTTCATCCGTCCATCCCGTCTCGTCTGTTCCGTCCATCCTGTTCTGTCATCGTCTCGTCCATCCATTCTCTCCCGTGCCATCCCATACATCCATCCATCCCATCTGTCCGTTTATCCATCCATCCATGGATTTTAGCCAGACAAATAACTGCAAAATTAAATGGCAAAAATAACTGTGCCGCCCTAAGCAGCAATTATTCAGCGGTTAACACTGTCACCACAAAGCAAGAAGGTCACTAATTTCCATCGGGTGCTCCGGTTTCCCCACAGTCCAAAGACATGCGCTATAAATGAATTGGATAAACAAATTTGCCCGTATTGTATGAGCATTTGTGTGAATGAATATGTATGGGTGTTTCCCAGTACTGGGTTGCAGCTGGAAGGGCATCCAAAGCATAAAACATGCTGGAATAGTTGCCAGTTCATTCCACTGTGGCGTTCTCTGAAACAGAGACTCAGCCGAAAGAAAATGAATAAATGAATAATTGCTGCTTATTTGTCTACAATAAAAGTGATGCAAAAAAGCTGTACAAAGTAAATTATAGCAGAAAGAAGCTGACTCTCTGAAATCCATCACAACTACAACAACAGTTTTGTTAGGAAAAATAATTTGCATATTAACAGTCAGAGCTCACTAAAGTCACAGTTAATATCAGCGGCTGACACGTTGCTTAACATCTCTACTTAACATATCCCTTTTTTCAAAATAAGGCTTTGAAATTCAATAGACTACATTTTTAAATACATTTTTATTTATACAAATTATTCCCACACAATAGAGCCTATTCAGTGCACTGTTCAAACATGTATTAAAAAGATGTACAAAGATCCTCTTAGAGGTTTTCTGAGTTCTTTTATCATATTTGTTTCATAAATCAAACGACTAATTCGTACATATATGCTAGTTTACAGAACTCAAATTGTGAAATAGTATAATTACTAAACTTTTCATAAGCCTGTATCTTGACTGGTTGAATTATGGTGACATTTTATGACCTAAATGGCCAGCAGGTTTGCAAATTTTTTCCACATTATACCCCAATGCAAATATTGTCTGAATGGCTTGATATAAATAGTTTTGGTTCATTTGGGTGGCATTTCTTTTCTTCTTTTTTGGTCTTGATGGCTTTAATATAATTCAATTCAATTCAATTCAGCTTTATTTGTATAGCGCTTTTACAATGTAGATTGTGTCAAAGCAGCTTCACATAAATGGTCATATATGTGACCATATAAAAAAAACAAATGCCACAAAATGGTAAAGAAACCATAACAGAATGGAACAAATTGCAAAGCCTAATATCTGCTCTTCATGTTTTGTCATATTGTAATTTTGTTTGTCTCTCAGGCTGTTCTTCAAGCAGGTGAATGTGCTTCTGGGAGGCTGTGTGCGCCGTATGTTGAGCGGAGGGGCTCCACTGTCTGCTTCCACACAGAGATTTATGAACGTGTGTTTCTGCCCCATTGCTGTGGGTTATGGCCTTACAGAGACGTGCGGAGCTGGCACTATATCAGACTGTAAGTACACACAAAAAAAAGTGTGTGACATTTTTCCTGTGTGTTTCTATGGCTATATTCCTGTGCTGACATGTTCAGGCTTGTCTTTGTAGCTTCTGATTACAGTACAGGACGAGTTGGAGCTCCTCTCATTTGCTCTGAAATAAAACTGCGAGACTGGCCTGAGGGTAAGACGAACACGCGGACACACACACACACACACACGCATACACACACACATTGAGTTTTTGTGTTGTTGGGGGCTTCCTATAGACATAATGATTTTTATGCTTTATTCTTTCTTTCCCCTTACTCAAATTCTATCCATAAACTTATGTGTGTTAACAAGTATTGTGAAACTTTGTCCCCACAATGTAGTGAATACCAGTACCACACACACACACACGTTGGATTTTCATGTTTTTTATGGAGTTCTTATAGACATAATGATATTTATATTGTACAGTCTGTACATAGTTTTCACTTCAGGGTTTCTGCAGGGTCTTAAAAAGTCTATAATTTAAAAATCTAAATTTTAGAACTTAAAAAGTCTTAAATTCGCTGTTCTAGGTCTTAAACATTTTTACGCAGGTCTTCTTTTTCTGATGTCCATGTACTGCTACATCTAATGCTCATTTAAATTCTTTTGTTGTTGTTGTTGTTGTTGTTGCTTGGTTTTCATGTTTTTTCACTAGTCCAAATGTAATTTGCACTATTACAACAACAAATGAGACCAACATGCAATAGCCAATCAGCTTTCTGTTTTTAAACTCAGTGTGTGCAGCGAATGTGACATCATCGCAGAGTTTGCGGAGGTTCACATTAGGATGATTTTGGCTGGTGGAGCTCACAATTTTTTTTGAGACTCTGTTGAACTTCACACAGTACCCCGTTTGATTTGAGTTGATTATGAAACACTTTGATGAGATTTTGTCTGAAACAGGCATGACTGTACAGACACCTTTATGATCCGCCCATGCGCGAACATTAGGATAACTAGAGGAACAATAATTCTTAGCTAGAATTTGCAACAGCAGTGAGAAAGGAGGAACATATTTTGTTAAGTATGGAAAAACCGTTTGTTAAAGCCAAAAGAGGACATGGCAAAAGTTGATAACTGGAAAAGAGTATTTGAACCTATCAGTTTACAATATACTCATACCCTGTTTTACTAGGCTTTATTGATGATAATGGTCAGGAATGTTGGACCGTTAATGTCTTTTTAGCTTATAAGTAGAGGACAGAAACTAACCAGCCAGTAATGTGTGAATTGTTGAGTGGGCTAACTCTAAAAAAAAAACATTTGTACCTTTTTTGTACTGTTTGTTACTTTTATTCTTTCCTTAATAAAAATTTAATTGTAGAGCAACCCAGGTTCTGTAGTCATTAATATTTAGCGTTAATTGGTAGAACTGTCCAAGATATGAACAAAAGCAAGTGATGCATTAAAGTTAGATTTAAAAAAAAATCTTAAATGGTTATAAAAATCTTTATAATCATTATAATAAATTATAAAAATAATTAGTTTAAAAATCTCGCATGATATTAATAAAATGACGTAGTTCCGGAAACTTCCAACTTCTCTGTTTCTCGTCTGACTTTACGGTGGCTTTCTTTTGACTACTCCTGTTGTTTTAAAGAGCCTTGTCTGTTTGAGGTGCACGCGCAGTCTATGAAGGTGTGCGATACAGTGACCTGCGAAAGTATAAATCAGCCTTAAGATGTTTGTTTGTTTTTTCCTGTATTTCAAAGATAACTTCAGTAGTGTTCAGTTTGAATATATTTATTTTGCCACTAATTTTCTGATTGTTGCATTTTCTCTATGTATTTGCGTGTTTTTGATGTTGCAATATAGGTCCTAAATTTAATACTTGATGGTCTTAAAAAGTCTTAAATTTGACATTATGATATCTGCAGAAACCCTGCACTTCCCCAACCCTACCACTAAACCCAGCCAATAAATACACTTGACATTTTTAAAATACTTCATTCTTTTTTTAATACTTTATTTATAAGTTTTTTTTATATATATATACAAAATACTTCTTTCTTAATGGATTTGAAGCTATTCTTCTTGTGAATACCAAATAATGGGACATCCCAAGTTCTCATGCCTGAAAACCACATGAAATTAAAATAACAAAAGGAAAGTGAAATGGCAAACCTAACAAAACATTCTACCAAATGCATGCACAAATGCTTTACAAAAATGTTCTCACAAGGTCAAAAGTTGCAGATTGATATGATAGTGTGGACAAAGGGGTAAAAGTAGTGATTTGACGTTGTTCGAATTTAGATTCAAATGTTTAAACACCCTCGTGGGTTAGTAAAGTGTATAACGAGAGATTAGGCGTAAATAACATACATATCTACTGTTTCAAAGCTCTAACATGCTAATCCAGCACATATCAGTGCTTAAAATGTCACAATAATGTAGTATTTGAACCTTTATATAACTGTAAAAGGCTCCATATTTTTGAGAAAAGAGCCACCCTTTATTAATAGGCTGCTTACAGGGCTGGAATTCTGGGTATTTATTAACAGACGTTTCACACTGTACATTCACAAACCCTGGGTTAACTTTTTGTTTTGTAAATGTCATTGTAACTGATTGGATGAATAGATTTTTGTTGTTTTAAGCCACGTGAAAACCACGAAGTCAAGAAAACAAAAACAAAACTACAAATGAATGAAAACAAGTCGAATTGTGTCTTTTTACCATCTCATCACTCCTAGTTTTTTACTTTTCTCTCACTTGCTGCATGTTTAATTTTCATCTTACTGACATGAGATGAGCTTCACTGCTCAGTTTCTTATTGGCTGTCTGTTGCCAAGGATCCAGCAGCAACAAGTAAACACAATTCTGTTTCACATTAAACAAACTAAGCACCGCAATGCAGGCTTATTAATTAATTAATTCATTCATTCATTTATTCATTCATTTTCTTTTCAGCTTAGTCCCTTTATTAATCTGGGGTCGCCACAGCAGAATAAACCCCCAACTTATCCAGCATATGCTTTACACAGCGAATGCCCCTCCAGCTGCAACCCATCTCTGGAAAACACCCATACACTCTCATTCACACACATACACTAAAGACAGTTTAGCTTATTCAGTTTACCTGTATCACATGTCTTTTGGACTTGTGGGGGAAACCGGAGCACACGGAGGAAACCCATGCAAACGAGGGGAGAAAATGCACACAGAAACGCCAACTGACCCAGCTGAGGCTCGAACCAACAACCTTCTGGCTGTGAGGTGACAGCACTACCTACTGCACCACCGTGTTGCCCACAATGCAGGGTAGACACCAAGTCAAAACTGCGGTGCAAAGTCTTAGCAGGGTTTCAGCCCCTGTAAAAAGTGGTTCTAACACATTTTTACATTTTTTATTTTACCCAGGGTTAAAAATTGTGGTTAGAATTACCCTAACTTGGGGTTAAGTGCAGTGCGAAAAGCCTTTTGATTTGACATTTGATCCCCATAAAGTAACAAGACTACACACACACATTCTCAAACACACGCACACAAGCTGGTTTGTTTTTTTATTTTGTGGGGACATTCTGTAGGTGTAATGGTATTTACAAATTGTATTTTTATTTCTTTACGCCCTTCCTACACCTAACTCTATCCCTTAAAGCATAGGTCTCAAACTCAATTCTTGGAGGGTCGCAGTTTTGCTCCAACCCTGATCAAACACAGCTGACCTTTCTAATGACAGTGTTCATGATTCTTTTAAACACCTTGATTATTTGGATCAGGTGTGTTTGATTAGGGTTGGAGCAAAACTGTGCAGAGCTGCGGCCCTCCAGGAATTGAGTTTGAGACCTATGCCTTAGAAAAAAACTTTGCATTTTTACTCTCTCAAACAAAAACCTAATTCTGTATGATTTATAATCCTTTTGAAAATTGACGACATTGGGCAATGTCCTCATAAGTCATGTTCCCCGAATAAATTCTGTCATACCCATCTCATTATACACGTTTGTGCCAACAGTATAATATATTCCTCTTGGTTTCACATTCCTAACTTTTAACAACCCCTGTCATTCGTAGGTGGATACACCAGCCAGGACAAGCCTCACCCAAGAGGGGAGATTTTGATTGGTGGACCAAATGTTGCCATGGGATACTATGGGAGTGAGGGGGAGGGGCAAAATGACAATTTCTGGGTTGACGAAGCGGGCCAGCGCTGGTTCTCTACTGGAGACATTGGGGAGGTTCATCCAGATGGTTGTCTGGAAATTGTGGGTGAGTAGACTCTGAATCATCTTACGTCAGAGTCATCTGGTGCTGGGTTACATCAAACAGAACCTGCCAATGATACACTTCTGCTCTCAGATCGGAAGAAAGACCTGGTGAAGCTTCAGGCAGGTGAATATGTGTCTCTGGGGAAGGTTGAAGCTGCCATGAAAAACAGTCCCCTCATTGATAACATCTGCGTCTATGCTAGCAGGTACAGGGAAACTTTATAAAAAAAACTATTATACTTCACTATATTCTGTAGCTAGAAATTAACCTGTATAAACACTACATTTTGTTGCCAAACTCTGCTTTTGCATTCATTTAAGCAGTAGGATTATGATCAGTTCAAGACTAAGATCCATTATTGATGGACATTTTGATGGGTGTTTATTGCTATCCATAATAGTTAGTTGATATTATTTGATATTGATTTTATCAAGGGAATTCTTCTTCTTCTTCTTCTTCTTCTATACATTTTATTCAACTCTTGATGTAATGTGATGTTCAATGCTTCTCATTTTGTTGATGAATATATATTCTTTCTATTATTTTCAGCTTTTTTTTTTTTTTGTTTGATACTAAATAAACGTATTCATGTTTGAGGCAGATAGTCTACCAAACATTACAATGAATCTAAAAACAATGTGCCATTCCATTTATTGTTTTTATTCAACAATAAATCAGCATATTAGTATTAATGGTCACACTTTACAATAAGGTTCATTAGTTAATGTTAGTTAATGCATTTACTAACATGAACAAACAATGAACAATACATCTACTACTGTATTTGTTCATGTTAGTTAACATTAGTTAATGAAAATAGAGTAGTTCATTGTTAGTTCATGTTAACTCATGGTGCATTAACTAATGTTAACAAGCATGGAGCTGGATGTTAATAATGCATTAGTAAATGTTTAATTATGATTAATAAACGCTGTACATGTGTTGTTCATGTTAGTAAATGCATTAACTGATAAACCTTATTGTAAAGTGTTACCGAATTAATTAATTAATTAGTTAATTAATTCATATTAGAGATATGAAGGATCAGATTTGTTCTGCATTTCCTCATATCACAGGAATATTGCAAGAAAACTAATCTCCCATTGTAATAATTATTTTAATTAATTAATTTTATTAATTAATTATGTCCTCAAGCTGACAAACAGTGATTAAAAGCCACAAAAAAATCATCCTCTTGTGTGTTTCTTGCACAAACCTCTAATATAGACCATTTAAGCTGTACACTGATACTGAAACACAGATCAATTCTTGTGTTCTTCCTTAGTGACCAGAACTATGTGATCAGCTTTGTGGTGCCCAATCAGAAGAACTTGACAGAGTTGGCAAAAAAGAGTGGGATAGATGGCGAGTGGGATGACATTTGTAACCACACTATGATGGAGGAGGAGGTGCTGAAAGTCATCAAAGAGATTGCAGTTACAAGTAAGACCTTTTTTCATTTTAATTTAATATATATATTTATTTACTGTAAAAAACTAACTCTGGAACACAACCTGTCCTGGTGTTTTGTTCAGAAAATAAGTTGCTATGACTATTCACATGTCTTTGGAACCCATGCTGAACTCATTTGTTTACTTGCCCGTAAATATACCCAGCTTTGATTTGTGATGTTGTGACTTTGAAAATAACTCTGCAGTAATGCACTGTTAAAGCTAGATCACCATTTAATCTCCTATCGCTTTTTCAAAACCAGTTTGAGTTTCTCTCATTGGTAGAACACAAAAGATGATATTTTGAAGAAGGTTGAAAACTGGTAGCCATTGACATCTATAGTAAAAGAAATTATGTTTTTTTTTTTACTATGAATTTAAATGGCTACCGTTTTCTAGCATTCTTTATGCTATCTAAATAAAGAAACATTTATATTTGACAGAAAAATAAAGAAAGAGAATAACTCCTTCTAGAAACTTAAAAGATTAAATTATAGTATTAAATATTAACTATTTCAGCATTTTTTGAACATTGCAAAAACATTAGTTTCATGTGTCAGAGCTGAAGAGAGGTTTATTGGAGTGTGTGTAAACAACATTTATTTTGATTTTGTCAGTCAGTGCGTCTCGAGTCCTTCATATAAAAAGTACTGTTCAGGCAGTATTTTTGACCATATTTACAAAACGTTCACACATTGATCAATATATATCAATATACACTCACTGGCCACTTTATTAGGTACACCTGTCCGACTGCTCGTTAACAAATTTCTAATCAGCCAATCACATGGCAGCAACTCAATGCATTCAGGCTCATAGACATGGTCAAGACGATTTTCTGCAGTTCAAACCGAGCATCAGAATGGGGAAGAAAGGTGGTTTAAGTGACTGAACGTGGCATGTTTGTTGGTGCCAGAAGGGCTGGTCTGAGTGTTTCAGAAACTGCTGATCGACTGGGATTTTCATGCACAACCATCTCTAGGGTTTATAGAGAATGGTCCAAAAAAAGAAGAAATATCAGATGAACAGCAGTTTTGTGGGCACAAATGTCTTGTTGATGCCAGAGGAGAATGGCCAGACTGGTTTGATCTGATATTGGCAACAGTAACTCAAAAAACTACTGGTTACAACCGAGGTATGCAGAAGAGCATCTCTGAACACACAACACGTCAAACCTTGAGACAGATGGGCTACAGCAGCAGAAGACCACACCAGGTGCCACTCTTGTCGGCTGTAAATAGGAAAATGAGGCTATAATTCGCACAGGCTCACCAAAATTGGACAATAGAAGATTGGAAAAACGTTGCCTGGACTAATGACTCTCGATTTCTGCTGCAACATTCGGATGTTAAGGTCAGAATTTGGCAGTAAAAGCGTGGATCCATCCTGCCTTGTTTCAATTGTTCAGGCTGGTGTTGGTGGTGTAATGGTGTTGGGGATATTTTCTTGGTACACTTTGGGTCCATTAGTACCAATTGAGCATTGTATCAATGCCACAGCCTACCTGAGTATTGTTTCTTAAACATGACAATGAGTTCACTGTATTCAGTCACCAGAACTCAATCCAATAGAACACCTTTGGCATTTGGTGGAACGGGAGATTATTTTGTATGTGCAGCCAACAAATCTGCTGCAACTGCGCAATGCTAACATGTCAATATGGAGCAAAATATCTGAGGAATATTTCCAGTACCTTGTTGAATCTATGCCACGAAGGATTAAGGCAGTTCAGAAGGCAAAAGGGGGTCTAACCCGGTAAAAAAAAGGTGTACCTAATAAAGTGGCTGGTGAATTTATATATATATATATATATATATATATATACACATACAAGGACAGGAACTTGTATAATGACATGGGTATGACCTAGTTGTACTCTATTATGGTGGATTATAAGGACATACCATGTCTTCTCAAAATGTAAAATGCTTAAAAATCATACTTAACAGTGTAGGGCCATAGGCTACTCCATAAACTAAATTACACTCATAGAGATTCAATGAATTCCCACCAATACCTGTGTGTGTGTGTGTGTGTGTGTGTGTGTGTGTGTGTGTGTGTGTGTGTGTGTGTGTGTGTGTGTGTGTGTGTGTGTGCGTAAACTGTAAATAAATTGTAAATTAAATAGGTCTATGTTTTACTTTTATAGGTAAACTGGAAAGGTTTGAGGTTCCGCAGAAGATCCGTTTAAGTTCTGAGCCTTGGACTCCAGAAACAGGACTGGTGACAGATGCCTTTAAATTAAAGAGGAAAGAGCTAAAAAATCATTATATGAAGGACATTGAGAGGTTATATGGGGCTAAGTGATGAACATTAAACACCTAGTGAGGCTGATTCCCTTCTGTTTTACACTTTTCACTAAACATGAAAAATGAAAGCCAACTGGGATTCGTCCATGTACATTTTACTGCCAACCCTGCTGATCTAAGTAGAAACACCATTCTGCCCTCTGCTGGATGTAAATGATCACTATTTCCTCTGTGATTAAGTACTATGAGGAAAAGCTTAATTTAAAAGCAATAAAGATGCAGTGAAGTTGTATTATTTTGTATTTTCTACCCAAAAAGGTGCCTTAAAGCATAGCTATGTCAAATGTTTTTTTTAAATAGAAAATTCTGCCATATCTACTTGAAAGTGTTTTTGGGATGTACAGTTTCACATTTTTAGTCTGTCAATGTGATTGTTTTGTTAAAAGTCAGTTGAACAAATGCTGATGCAATGTTTTTAGGGATTCAATAACCTTATTTCTAAGGAAAGATCTGCAGAAATAAACCTGGGAACTCTGTAAATTGTGGAAAATAATGTGGTCTGAGTTTATGTTTACATATGTATAGGAAATCGGTTTTTGATTCTGTCTACTGTTGACATGAAAGGGAAAAAAGTTTTTTAGGATGTTTGTATGTTTCATCTCTAGTCGTTCATGTGCACGGGTTCAAGGCACCTCACAAAACTAGGAAGTCATCTTTTTACATTTTATGCTGTCTATAATATTATATAGTTCAAAAAAGCTGTATCAACATTCCTCAGTATAAACTGTCATTCATTTACTATTTGGATGAACAAAACTAAATCATTTGACTGCTTTTCTGTTTTATGTGTTTTCAGATGTTTTTTGTTCACAATGCAAACTTGCTTAAGTTTTTTAACAGGTTGTTTCCTTGTGTATGTGCTTTTTTCCAATATATTTCATAACACAGCTATGTCCTGACATTATCTATCAAAACAAAAATGCTGCGCTGCCTTACTAGTTTGTACACCAAAGCTCCACAGAATGTTGATGCTTGTTGCATTCTGTAGCTTGATGTTTCATTTCAGAATTCAGTAGAAACCTGAATTTTATCTGTCAAAGCTTTACTGTACCAATTGTTGTTCCTCAATTTTCATTTGGAAAATTGGATGTTTGACACTTTTAAGTATGATTATTTTTATATAAAGGTCTGATATATCTTTTTTACACCACTGTAGCATTTGAAATGGTTGACAAAGTAAAACACTTTAAAATCTGTTTGACATGAATAAAGTCAACAATGTTCAAGTCTTTTCTTTCTTTGTTTGTAAATAGAAACAGTGTGATTAAGAAACTAAACGGTTATAAACAAAGTAACAGAATAATAATTGAAAAATATGTGCTTTTTTCCCAGTATATTTCATAAAACAGCTGTCCTGACATCTATCAAAACAAATTCTGTGCTATCTTACTAGTCTGTACACCAAAGCTCCACATGATTTCAATGCTTGTTGCATTCTGTAGCTTGATTCTAAATTTCAGAATTCAGTAGCTCAATTTGATCTGTCAAAGCTTTACTGTACCAATTGTTGTTCCTCAATTTTGATTAGGAAAAATTATGTTTGCCACTTTTTTTAAAAGTATGGATATTTTTATATCAAGTCTGATATATATTTTTACAATACTAAAGCATTTGAAATGGTTGACAAAATAAAACACTTCAAAATCTGTTTCTCATGAATAAAGTCAACAATATTCAAGTCTTTTTGTTTCTTTGTTTGTAAATAGAAACAGTGTGATAAGAAAACTAAACCGTTATAAACAAAACAACAGAAGAATAGTTGACAAATGTTTTGTGGGAGTCCCATGATGTGAATATGTATGTGTGTGTGGGTGTGTTTGTGTGTGTGGATACCAGAATGTGGGTGTGCGTGGACGCGTAATAAGTGTGTTTTGGGTTTCTCGAGACTGTATTTTTACTCCTGTCCACCCACAGCACCAAACTGTCTCTTTTAGCTACGAAACACCAACAGAACTGAGCCAGTTCCACTTGGATAATGTTTTAATGCTCTAACCGCGGAGCTCCGGTCCGGTTCGGTTCTGTTCGGCGGCGTATCTGGCCGGGTTTGATGCTGCTGGACTCACGCTGAGGGAGGTGAGGGAGGAAATGGCGGCCGATTCTCATAAATATCAGCGATTTTAGAAAAAAACTAAACAAATTGAAGACATTTACTGTGAGTTCGCGGTGGGATGCATTTCCCAGTGTCGTTCATGTGACAGTTTCAGTCGTTAGTTTAAATCGTGAGAATTGTTGAAACACTACAATGTGTTTATTGTGGCAAAACGTAAAGTTTAAATGTGGTTTTGCAGGGACTTTGACATTGTTTAGTGGGTTTGGGGCGGTTTTAATGACTGTTAGAGGAGCTGGAGGCCCCGTTAGCTTGTTAGCATGCTAGCCCGTGTTTACGGAAATCAAACTGAACATTAAAAACACAGTTAAATAAATGACCACACATTAACGTTACACGAATACACAAGCATTGTACGTGTTTATTGAGTTTGTGTGATATTTAGCAAGTAGATATTGTTTACAGTAATGTTTTGAATGCAAATGTCTGATATTTATTATTAAAGTGCACACACATAATGCACACGTCCTTCACACTAACATCCACCGCATTAATAACCTTATTCAGAAACCGCAGTATGAGTCTTATATGATTACTTTAAAGCATACGTAGATGTTGATATCATGTGCAGACGTTTGCAGATAATGTTTTTATGCTGCTGTGTGTGTGTTTTTCTTCATTTGTGAGTCTGTCTGTCTACTGCAGTGTGGGGACACTTGAACTCCAGAAGAGACAGAAGATGTTGAGAAAATGATAGCAGCTCAAGAGCTTCAAGCAGACTTTTACCAGTAAGTGTCTGATACACACTATAAAGTTAACTCACTCTTTCTTCAACAGAGCTTGTCTGTTTCCCAAACTATGGATACCTGCTTACCTAGACAGCATTTATGGCCATCATAGGTACATTTGAGTTCTGCACCTGCTAAATGACAACTTGCTTATGTATATGAGCTATAATGTATTCAAGCATATTAAAGAGCTGATTTTCATCTAGAGTGTTTCGGCACTGTGCTCACACAAAGCATACCTAACCTATTGTTAAACACACGTGAGTTACTGTCCAGTTACACGCTGCTGTGCTTTGTTTGTTTAGGGAAGGACACTCTCTGCTCTCGGACACAGATCTTGAAGATCATGAAGGGCGAAATGGCAAACTTGCAAAAGGAAAGGTATGTGTTTGCCACTAACTCTTTCATACATGCATTCAGTTCTCCTTAATCAAACAAACAGATATACTTTTTAAAATGTATAGATATAAGAATCATGTACATGCATAAATGTTGATTAATAAAGAGAGCTATAAATGCTAGTATTTTTATTTTTAAATTGTAATACAGCATTATGGATGCAACATGTGCAGTAAAAACCAAAAGGTAAATTCACAGAGAAAGTGGATGTTAACATTATATTGAAACATGTTTCTATTTTTATATAACAACTCATCACAGAGTTTTGGAGTCAGAAAAATAACAATCTATAAACATTTATTATTTTTAAAATGAGGAAAATAAATACGCATTCATGTGACATGTGAAAATGTCACTTGTGTGACTTTGGTAAATCAAATATAATTGTTTAGAAACATTTTCAGAGAACTTTTTGAGCATTTTTACAGTACTGTAAAATACAAGCCTACACACACACACACACACACACACACACACACACACACACAACTTAGAGTTTTGCTATTTTGGTGTAAACCTAATTCTTTTTCATGTCAAGCTTGACATTTGCATGCAATTGCCCTAATGTAAGAAACGTAATTATTATAACTGCTTTTTTAAACAATAAAGAGTGTGTCTGTCATTGAAAAGCTTAACATTTTAGGACCTGCTGACTAGATTTTCAAAAGGGAGAAAGAGAGACTTTCCCAGCATGTCTTTCAAAAAAGAGTAGGGGTTTAACCCAAGCATCCTGGCCAAATTTGCCCACTGGCCTCTACTCGTCATGGCCTAACCATCCCCAAATCATAATTGGCTTCATCACTCTGTCTCCTCTCCACTAATCAGCTGGTGTGTGTGGTGCAGTCAAGCACAATATGGCTGTCACATCATCCACGTGGATACTGCACACTGATGGTGAATGAGGAGATTTCCCTCATTGTGTAAAGCACTTTGAGTGTCTAGAAAAGTGCTATATAAATGTAAGGAATTATTATTATTACTTTAGTATTTGCTTTAAATTTTTTTCTTCTGTATTTACCCATATACAGTTGAAGTCAGAATTATTAGCCCACCCTGTTTATTTTTTCCCCCATTTTCTGTTTAATGGAGAGAAGATTTTTTTCAACACATTTCTAAACATAATAGTTTTAATAACTCATCTCTAATAACTGATTTATTTTATCTTTGCCTTGATGACAGTAAATAATATTTGACTAGATATTTTTCAGGACACCTGTGTTCAGCTTAAAGTGACATTGAAAGGTTTAACTAGGTTAGTGATGTTACTAGGCAGGTTAGGGTAATTAGGCAAGTTACTGTATAAAGATGGTTTGTTCTGTAGACTATCGAAAAAATATAGCTTAAAGGGGCTAATAATATTGACATTAAAATGTTAAAAAAATTAAAAAACAGCTTTTATTCTAGCCAAAATAAAACAAATTATTATAAAAAATATATTATCAGACACACTGTGAAAATTTCTTTGCTGTTAAACATCATTTAGGAAATATTTAAAAAAAGAAAAGAAAATTTGAAGGGGGGCTAATAATTCTGACTTTAAATGTATCTATATATCTTCTTTCTTTCTTTCTTTCTTTCTTTCTTTCTTTTTCTTTCTTTCTTTCTTTCTTTCTTTCTTTCTTTCTTTCTTTCTTTCTTTCTTTCTTTCTTTCTTTATCATTTTTCAATTGGTTTATTATTTATTTGTCTGTGTCTTGATTCATCTTTGCATACTTATTGAAGGCATTTTTCCATGAAATGAAATTTTGAAAATTAAGAAATTTATTTTCTTTGCTATAATTTATTTTAATTGTAATTTTCAGTTTGTATACATTGAAATACAGTGCAAAACTTTACATGCATTTTTTACACAACAATAACCTTGCTACATTTACAAATTATAACAAATTATATATATATATATATATATATATATATATATATATATATATATATATGTTTTGATATATATATACATACATACATAACTAAACAAAAAAATAAACAAATAAAAAATAAAAATGCTTCTTTTTTAGTTAATGGTAATCTAATCAAAAGTGATCATTATTATCATACTGAATACAGTGTACAGCAAATACATAGGTTGACGAGTGTATCAATACTGAAACAACATTTTTATTTATTCATCAGCTTCTTCCTCTGTTAATTTCACACCTTCGATATATCTGATGAAGGGACTCCATATGTTTTCAAATACATTCTGTTTAGCTTTTAGAATGCAAGTTATTTTTTACCAATGGCAGGCTTGACAACATTTGTCTTATCCGTTGAGTAGTGTTTGTTCTTTGTCCCTAGCAAAGCTACACATTTTTTTGGCATAAAGCAAGCTGAGGTCTATAAATACTTGTTCGCTTTTACTATAGTTTGAATTTTCTTGATTTATAAAACCAGCAAAAAAAGCTTTGGGTCGAGGAGGATTTGTTTTGAAATTATCTTTCACTTATGACTCTTATCTCTTTCCAAAATAATTAAATCATTGTACACTGCCAAGTACAGTGAAACGAGGTTCCTCTAGCTGTCAAACATTTTGTGCAAATATCTGCGCAAAGAGACGTAAATTTACAGACATAGTATGAGCCTAAGAATTGTTTTTGAACTGCAAGATTTAATTTGTTTGTTTGTAGTTATTTCTTAGGTTAAATAGCCATTTTTTTTATGGACTTTTTCTTGTTTTTTTATTTGTTACCAGAAGGGCAAGAAGAGCATTGGGGAGAAGTTGAAGGGGTCAGAGGTGAGAGGTCGGGTCAATGGCCACCATCAGGAGAATGACATGGAGAATCTCAGCTTGTTTGAGATTGTCAGATTGGGCAAAAGTGCCACACAGGTACCAACACACACGCAAGCATCTTCAGACACACTGAATAATTAAACCATTTTCATTCACATTTAGAAACAAACACGCACTCAACGTGCTTCGGTATTATATTCCATACATCAGTTGCGTGTGTGAGATTAGTTATGATATCAAGGTCTGTCTGCTGTGTGTGCTTTCAGTGTAGGCTGTGTGTGTATTATTGAGTAAGTGTGTGTATTTTTTCTCTCATCCTGCAGTCAGTGGTTGATGACTGGATCGAGTCCTATAAAACTGACAGAGACTCTG